AGGGCAGGACGAAGGGAAACTAATTTCTTCCCAGGATTTCGGCTTCTTTTGTATCGTTTGTTGGTGTGTCTCTCTGTGTGTGTTTGTCCAAGGGTGTATGGGTGTAAGGGTGGGTGTGTGCGTGGCTCGCGGCAGAGTTAAGTTTTCCCATTGTTGAGAGGCTTTTACTCCAGTTTTTCCTTGTTTCCCGATGCCGCTGTTGCTGCCTTTGCTGTTGCTGTTGGCCAGCTTGTTAGCCATCCAGTTGCCCAAATGGCATTTCCTGCCGCCCGTGTCCGCAGGGCGAAATATTTAAATTATTATTTTCAGCAATGCCAAAGAAAGGAAAATTTGATTAGGAAAATAAATGCTACCCGAGGGGCTCAACATGTCATTCCAATTTGAGCCAATTTACTTTTTTGGTCCCCAGCCCTCCCAGCTCACAGGTGAAGCTGTGAGAACATATCCAAAAATAGTAAAGTCTTGTTCGAAAAAATATGCTTGAAATTGTTTGGGAATATCTGAGCTACAGATGATGCATTTTCTTGTTAATTAGTTGCAGTCTGTTTACGCTCCGTAATTTATGGCATCTGCTCTGCATTTGAACTTCAAATCGATGCACAAAAAAAAATATTGTTTTAGATGTGGGAATTTCTTGGAAAAGAAACTGGTATTCCTTTTATAAGAGGCTCTCTTATAAGAGATGAAGTACAAGTTACCGATATGCAAATGTTCCTTTTGAAGTTCTTTTTAAAAATGTTATAAAAAGTTTTTATGAATCGCGGGGATAGATCCCAGGGTCAATTCAAGACGCTCAAGATTTTTTACCGTGTATAGTTCACAGAGGCGTGAGGTCAGGGCTCTGGGTCTTGTGTCTGGATATCCGATATAATTCACATTCAATTTCCATTTCCAATCTGCGGCCGCAGCACCCGGGGCACATGTGTGTGTCGCATCCCAGATGCCGTCAAATGCAGCGCCGCCCTGTTGCAGCCGCCGCCCCTGCCCCAGGATATCCCCCTCGCAAGCACCCCCTTGCAATCAACCCCTTGTAAGGGGGCCAGGGGCAGGGGGATGTTGTTCGACTGACGCTGTAAACAAAACATTCATCAAAATTTTATACACTCAACATGTGCCACGCCTGGCTGGAGTTTCCCCCACCCAACCACGGACATATCCCCCTCCGATCGCCAGACAGCCGCGGGCTGACATTATTTGTTTGTGTTTTCGGTTGCCGGCATCGATTTTGAATGTTCTTTGAAAAATCACAACTAATTAACTTTGCCCATAGCTCCAAATTACGAGAACGATTCTCTTCAGACGGGGAGGTGCTATTGGCCTTTGGCTTTGGGAAGCGTTTTTTGTGGGCTTCTGGCTGGGGGCTGGTGGCTCTGGGCCCGGGCGCTCCTGGCGGCCAGATGTGAGTCCATCTCGGGGAGCTGTGTTTAAAAATAGCCAACGTGTTCAAGATGAGGTAGTTCGTCCGACATCCGGTCGTTTGATAAGAAATCTCTGCAGTGGCGGATCTAGAATTGCTGGCGCCCGGGGCAAAACGAAAAATTTGCGCCCCCCCCCCCCCTCCCTCTCTGCTATATGAACGCGTTAATTTTTTTTTATATGAATAAAATTCAAAGTATTTTGGGTGTGTAAAAGGTTATATCATCTAAAGCTTATAGGTATGAAGAATTATATTTCATTTTTATTCTTTCGTTAGATGCATCATAAAAATACATTAAATGTTGTGTTTTTGTATGAAAACAAAATATTACTGTTAAAATAATCTACTCTTTAAGATGTATACATGTGAAAATGCATTTTCGATGTCAGGCAATTGACTCAAATTCGTTTTTAGAATATCAAGAAAAAAAGGTAAAATGAGTAATATTCGATAAATAATTATAAAAAGCATCAGTACCCCGATGAAACACTATAAAAGAAAAACCCTACCTTAAGGTTATGTGTAAATGGATGTGTTCTCAGAGCTTTAGCCCCGCACATATATACACATATATGGCGCAGATATGCCCTACGCCAGTGCCTTTTAAAATTTATGTTCGAAAATGTAAGCAAACGCGCTCATAACCTAGCAACTCACAATTTCTCCAAGAAAGAAATTCCTGGAAATTACTGTTATGACGTTTGCTGTTATGACGTACGTTTCGAGCGCCTCGTTTCCTTGTGATCACATGTCTCGAAACACTCAGCACTTGTGTTAGTGCGTGCCCACGTGCGTAGCGCCGCGGGAAAATATGAATTCTCGAAACATACAGTGTTAGCCGAGCTCGATTTAGCGCCCCTTCGGGACTTGGCGCCCGGGGCGCTTGCCCCTTTCGCCCCCCCCTAGATCCGCCACTGAATCTCTGCTAAATGAGGCCCATCAGCGACAGAGGTGAGTTGCAGCCTGATTTAAGGGAGACATTGACTTTCCATGACAGACTGAACATGCCACCAACTCAACACAGAAATAATATTTTAGTTAAAGCCATTTAAGGATTACCAAGTATACAAACAATTTTCTGAGAATTATTTGGTTAAGCTTATTAACAACACATTTTAAATGAAAACGATTGCATAAATTAAAAGTAAAGCTGCAGATCCGATTAAAAAGAAATAATCAAATATATACTTTGGCTATTGGAGGAAAAATAAAAAAAATTGGAAAATACACTATAAGTTAATACACTATAATAGAAGCTTAATAAGAGTCTGTTGATTTAAATTAAAAACAATTAAAAACTATTACATTGCAAGCTAAAATAAAATTAAAGTAAGAAGCATGATATTTTGGTATTTTAAGACTCAATAACAATTCCTTATACATTTCCCTGTTTCTTAATTATCAAGAAGAATCCTCAGCCTTCTTGTTTAAATATTTTTCCAACTTTCGCAATTTACGTCTTCCCATTTCTGAGTCATTTTTTTGGTATCTCTGGACGGCAGCATATGCCTCGAAATAACTTCCCGAAGCCAAGTTGCGTTAATTGCAACAATCGTGGCTGTCTGAGGAAAAAGTTCATTAAAAGAAGTCATTTTTGTTTGCATTCCGAGGCTGTGATTGAGGCTTTCGCATTTGCCTTGGCTTCTGGGGCTGATTGTTTTCTGGCGACTGGCTCCATTGTGCCGCGGACTGACAACTGCTCGGGAACTGTCGATGAGTGGGTGAATTGTTGAAAAGTTTTGATCCACCCACTGCCAGCCAGGTGGCGGAGACAATGAAGGTATTTATTAAAACAAACTTGGGTCGAATGCGGCATCCTCATTGGCCTTGGGCGAAAGTTTAGAGAAGTAGTTGCAAGCATCAAGCGGCAAGAAGCAAGAAGCAAGTTGCAAGTTGCCAGTTGCCTTGGCCCAGGCGCATAAATGTCACTTACGCGCTTCTTGACGCCAGATTCCCGCCATTGTCTCCAGTCAGCTATTGAGGGAATTGCGAAAGTGACAATTTCGACAGCTCCCGAATGGAGTTGGTCCTCGGATGGGTGAGGATTCCGGCCGCACGTCCTTCGCGGGGTGGCGTCTGGCAGGAGTGTAAGTGCAAATTCAGTTTGGTTTAATTTCGACAGGCTGTGGTCGCACTGCAGTCGACTTTGCAGTCCTTCTGCCCATTGACCAAAAAGCTGTCAACATCGCGTCCTTCCTTCACAGAGTCCTGATGCTTGAGTGCGGAGAGTTCCGAGTCCCGAGCCCCGAGTCCTGAAAGTCAGCTGCGATCTTTATTAAGTTTTCGCTTACTTTTCGCCAAGTGCGAAAGAAAGTTTCTGGTGCGGCAAGTTTGCCTTCAAACAGTTTTCCCTGTTTTTCTAGATTTCGGCTTTTGTTTTCTGGTACAGATTTCATCTCGCCACCCACCCAGCCTCGGCAAAACTTTCCTTCTGCAAAATGTCCTCTGCAAATTTGTTGTCTATCGCATTTCTCCCACTTTCCTGCGTTTTTTTTCTCTCGGCCACCTTCAGATTTGCCGCAGGATGCACATCGGAGTTGGTCACTAGAAAAAATATTGCAAGAAGTTTGCATTGGCAGCAAATTAATATTTGGCCAAATATTTGGCAAAGTTTCCTGTCATCCTCTAGATGCTCAGTTAAAAAGTGTAGGAAAAATAATTTGAAGATTTCATTGATTGTCATTCCACTGCGGCTGGCTGTTATTCCACTTGGCCATTCTCATTCCACCCCTCGGCTTGTGGCCAAGAGAGTTGGGCGAAAAAACTTGTTATTGGCAGTGAATTAATGTTTTGAATGGGAATACATTTTGGCCGAAACGCTCCTATCGAGGATTGCGTACACATGTCGAGGAATATACAAATTCTGGCGAATATTTAAAACTATATTTGAGAAGCATCCAGCATCTGCTCATTTGTGTGGGAACCTGTGAAAGGCAACTGGGTTTATTTGTGCTCTGCTGCAGCAAATATGCTCGATTGCATTTGAGTTATGGCCCTGGTCCGGTCCACAGGACAGCTCCTCCCTTGGTGCTTGCCCCTCTGCAAAGAGTTCTCCGGTCCGGCATTTGTCGCCCTTGGAATATTTGCTCCGTGTCCATGTGCATTTCTTTGCGTCCCCCCATGGAACATATTCAATATTTTGGTATTTATCTTGTCCGACAATAAAATAAAGCAAAATTGCATGTGTTTTGCCGGGATGCTGAGATGCCGGTGGAGTGTCAAGCAAACGAGAAAAGGATGCCCAAGTGGGTCACTCAGGTCCTTCCGTTGGCTGCCGTTGGCCCACTTCTGAATGCCACAGGAATTTGCATGTTCGAATACTCTTTAAGTATTTGGTAAGCTGTGCTGGTATTGGCCATTGAAGAACAAAGTAAGCTGCTTGCAGGACGCATTGTACTTGGGCACTGGACAAAAAAGTTACTCAAAGGACACAATGGCGTATAATACGGCACTGCAATGGAAATTTCTTAAATGGAATTGTGTTTTGTTCAAATCATAAATGTTAGAACAGGAGGCACTCTTCTTTTCTTTTCAGTATAACTATCACTTCTCAAACGTCATTTGTACATTTATACATATAATACATTGATAATTTTCTAAAATCCTATTCAGAAAAAATGGATCTTCGCCAGCAGGTGATGTCCCGCAACGTGCCGCAGTTGGTCAAGCTGCTCCTAGAGGAAGGTAACCAGCCGGACTCTAGCGAGGAAGTTAACCAGCCGGACTCTAGCGAGAAAGTTAACCAGCCGAACTCTAGCGAGGAAGTTAACCAGCCGGTGGATCCGGCCACCTTCGAGAGGTGCTTAGATTTCGCCAACAAGCGCTTGAAGCCGTTTGCGAACGAGGAGGTCTGCCCCGAGTCCGTGTTGCATACCATGAACCTTTTTATCGAGAGGTATCGTAGCGAATTCCTGCCCGAGTTCGGGGAAACCTTCAAGGAACTGGCCCTTGTGGTGCTGAAACATCCGCTCTGCGTCAACCACTTCCAGAAGAATCTGCAGTGGTGCCTCCTGGACTTTATGCTCTCGGTGAACTACAAGGCCTTTTATGAGGTGCGCCGCAACCGGAAAGAGATGCTCCAGAAAAGAGAGGAAATTTTGATGGCCCTGGCCCTGGCTACCGATGGCGCTGAAGTGTCGCACGTTCCCAACGGCGGTTACGCCCGAGGCTCGATGGGAGATTCTGGCAAGACAACAACAGAATGGGCGGAGAATAGTCACGCTGAAACACCAAAAAATACGCCTCGATTCTACATACCTGAAGCACGGAATTCCACCGTTCAGAATGAATACAAAGGCCCCAGTATGCCGGAAGTCGGTGCCAATCTGGAAAACGCCACCTTTAGTCTTTCCATGGACTCACCTACGCCTCAGGGTGCGTGGGGGTCCAGTTGCATGGCTCAGCATCTTCAGGAGGTGTATGTCTCGGAGGACTTCTCCACCAACGAGGCCAGGATGAACCTGCTGATGAACCTCACCCAGGTGGACTCCTCTCTAGAAAGACCAACAAAGGTCAACTATTACCGGGGCACGAACGACTTGCTCACCAGGATCTACACGCCCTGGTGGCAGGTTGACATACACGTGCACCAGCAATCTCGGGCTCTGCCGAGCAGCTTCTTTTACAACTACGGCGGGTGGATGCTTAATAAGTTGCGGGAGAGCCAGAGCTCTCTGCGCAGGATGACTGAGGAGCACCAGCTAATGAGGGAGCTGCTCATCCTGTTTTTCATCTCTAGGGACAATAGCCAATTCCAGATGAAGGGCAGCGGAGTTGTAGTGCTCACTACAGGAGCCAAAACATGTGTCGTGAGCAAACTTTTGAAAGGACCTGTCATAGGTGAGGTTTTCAAGTATCTGGATCAGATGGGCGACCTCCGACAATTAATAGAGACTAATGCCACGCCGCGAGTCGGTGGTTTGAGACTGGAGACAGTATCGTACTTCACTGTGGCGGTTCTTCGACTGCTGCGCCCAGTAATTGAGTTTCTGGTTTACTACGAACGCCGTTTGGCAACGGGCAGGGAAGCACCCACTGTTAGGCACTTTCTAAATATTTCCAAGGACGCAATGCCGAGGCTGCAGCTTCTCTCTGAAGTTCCCGATCCGATGGTGGTGGGCCGGCCAGCGCTGTGTGTCCTCGGACTTCTGGATGCCCTTGCCCTAAAGTGTTCCACGCCTGGGCACAGCAAAGAGGAAAGATCCCTGAGTGCCGCTCTGCTCCTACACTCGCTCCAGGCCTACTGTCACTTCATAGACTGCTGGTGGACCACCGGGGAGTTCCAGGACTGGCAGGACGAGTTTCCCTTCCAGAAGCTGCAAGTCGACGGGCGAACCGAGTACGACATAAAAAGCTGTTTACAAGAGGAGGACGTCCATCTGGGCGGACGTCTACTTAAAGTGCTCCAGAATCACCTGGACGAGGCCAGCCAAGCTGTGGCAATGCTCTACGACACCCGGAGAATGGGTGACTTCATTTCGCTGCACGGCAGTAAATTCAAGGTGTCACTCCACAACTTCCTGATGGAAGCCGTGCTTAAAGAATTGCTTCCTTACCAGACGGATCAGGTGATGGAAAACAACTATGCACCAGATATATTGCAGCAGCAGAAGTACGAAGAGGAGAAGATAGTTCGGCGCTTGTTTTATGCCTTTCACATAGAGACGAGGCCCGATCCCCGACACCCAGCCAGGTGTTCTGTGGAGGAGCTGGTCAAGAACTTCAACTCCTGTGTGGAGTACACGCCAATCGAGGAGATTATTTGGGATCAGTTGGCAGTCGGCCTGAGGAGACGCAGTATTATGGCCAACTCTTATGTGACCCATGTGGTCATGACGGAGCTGAAGCTTCCCAAGGCTGTAAACCACCTCAGGTCCGTCTACACTCTGGAAAAATACGACCTCTTACGCAGGAAATTTGAGGATTTCTTCGGATTACTGTCGAAGAAAAGTGTGGAAAAAGCTAAAAAGAAGATGAAGGCGATTGTAGATTCTCAGGACCCCAACCTGGCCAATCTATTCCATGTGAACCTTGAGGGGTCTCATCCTAACTTCCTTACCGTGTCTGTGGGCTTTGATATTTTTCTCAACCAGGTGATGCCCCAGGTACACTTCAATCAACTGAACTCCTGCTTTCGGTTGATTCTTAGCATTCACTGGACCCTTTATAGGCTGAAGAGACTACCTCCACTGAAGATCAGCCGATTTGTAGATTTGGAGGTGGCACTCCTGGTCCTCCGAAACTCTTTGGAAAAAGCTCTCGAGGAACAGCTCAAGGGATCGGGAAAAGTCAAGCGGCTCGAGGAAATCCTTTATCAGAGTGAAGAACTCCAGAAAAAATGCACGATCCGCGAACTCAGACAGGCGCAGGAGTGGTTCCTTCGGCAAGTAGGCCATGTAGTCAGTGAGGTGATGTCCAAGGGAAATTTTGCCAGCAGGATGGAGGAGTTTTTGGGTTTTTGCGAAGTCTTGTACAGCTTGTGGATGAAGGCCTGGTCTGTCCTCAACAATACTGAAGTTCAAAAGCCAAGGACCACTTGTGAGATTAAGTTCGAATGGCTAAGGTTCTTCTACCTCCAGAGGATCCACAAGCACTGCAAGGTAATGGCCTCCCACCTCGGCGTGAAGTTAATTCACTTTTCCTAAATGGAATATATTTATTATATTATTCTACCATTGTTAATTTTGGATGTTTAAAATTGTTAAAAGTATTTCAAAAAGCATATTTTAGTTGATGAATAAATTTAAAAATTACGTCCCAGTGTTTCACTCAAAGATTATCGCTGTTGAGATAAGCTTGTCCGGACAGTCTTAAATTTCAGAAATTTGACAGAATTTATATCTGATTTGTTGCTTAATTGTTTGTTGGCTTGTTGCGGCCCCGGATCCCAGGATTTTTTTTATCGCCAGCCAATCCGCAAATAAGTTTTATCAATTTTGCAGTGCGCGTGTGCGTTGCCTGTGACAGAAACCGCAAATTAAATCGTTTGGTGCTGGCAAAATTTATTTCTAGCGCGTGGTGGAAGCCACAAGCTCCACACGCGCACTCCCACGCCCAAATTTGGCCAAAGCCGGCACACATGTTCCGTAAAAAAGCGTGGCAAATTAGAACACCAGCTATGGCAATGGCTATTGCGATGGCCATGACGATGCCAAATCCAAAGCCAAATCACAGCCAGAAACCGAAATTATTCTGTGGATTTTGCGGCCTCGCTGGCGGTGATGGGGTGGGTCGTTTGAGTGGTGTGGACACACGTTCACACTCTGGCCCATAAATTGCACTAGCGCCTTGTTGGCCAATAAATACTAAAGTCTTGATATGCACCGGACCTGGCGCGGCTTTCGGCGTCCGGCGCCAAGTGCCATAAACTTTACCCTGGACAAGGGAATGGCTAATTAAAGTTTGCGGCGCATTTTCAAATTAAAAATTGGTAATTTGTGTACAGTTTCCACCTACCCGCTGGTGTGATTTCCCTTCTCCCTTCCTGTTTTTTAACATTTTTTATTGCGTGGGCGGATCTGCTGGTTTATGCCCCTGACATCAGACAGCGGAGTGGAGTGGCTGGTCGTAAAACGAGGAAATCTGTGCCAGCCGGAGAGGCGATGGAACCATCAGAGAGACAGGTTTATGTGCGGAACTAGACGTTTTATGGGCTCGCATTTATTTTTTCTCATTATCTGGCCGCGACCAGGCCAGAATCACGCCTTAAAATTTGTCATTCAAGTGCAGTGCCCTTAAAGGGGCTAGGAGAGACCCTATATTTATGTATATCGTATATAAGCAGATAAATTTAATAATAAATAATGCACGTCACGATTTATTTAATCTTGTGTGTCCTGACAGACAGACAAAGTCGCAAACAGAAGCATTTTTCATTTCATTTCTCATTTCGGTGCAAAAATGTTTCATTTACTTTGCCGGCCACATATGAAAACCACTGCAACCGCATTTGAAAAACATTTTAAATACCTTTTACATTTTTACCATTAGTTTTTATTTGGCCATGGCCATCGCCATCGCCATTGCCATTTCCATGACCATTTCCACGCCCATACCCTTTTCTAGTCCAATGGAAATTTTTGTGTGATTTCTGTGCAGGTCCAACTTAGCGGGCAAATTTTTGTTTGTCCAGAGATTTATTTCATTCCATTTCCAATTTCACAGACTCTGAGCTTTGCCTTTGCTTTTGCCATTCCGGTTTCAGCTCGATTTCAAATTTTTCAATTTAGTGGCACTTTGTTGCTCTTCTGCGGCATTTTATTTAATATCGAAAACTCTAATTAAATTTTTTATTATTTACTCTTTGGGTTAGTTTTTCCATCCGGCTGGGCAATGTATTGATTTCGCTGTTGATATTTTTATATCCGTGGATGTTTGGACTCTGGCAGTCCCGATTTAATGAGTTTCTCACAGAGCCGTCAAGGTAAACAATAAATATTTGCTTATTTGCTCTTTGTCGCCTTTGCCGTTGAAGGTGGAGGAGGTGTAGCAGAAGGTGGCATTTTGTGGCCCGTGCCACACTTTTCAATGAAACAATCCGCCGTCGATGGCTGGGTTTTCCGGGGCATTTGTCCCAGGACCACCGGAGTTGATTTCCATGTCACTATCGGCCCCGGAAATAAATCGAATCGAGTCTATGCAGATGCTAAAAATAAATGAGGGTCGCTCTTGCGGCTGCAACTCAGTAAACAACCCGCCTGCCACTAAAAATATCACATGTCGGAGCCAAGGAGGCGACTAATTAGAGCCTTTGGAAAAATGTGTGGGCGTCTTGTTTGTGTGTTTGTTTGTGGGAAACTTTGTCAATATTGATGCGCTACCCCGGGAAAAATTATCAATCTCTAGCCAGATATTTTCCCATGAAAATATGAGTCTTCGGCGCTGCACCCTTCCCTGGGACACCCTGGGAACTCTCGTTCGTAAAGCCCCGACATAACATTCACACGATGGCTGGCAAAACTTCTTCAATTTGCCATCAAGTACTCAGGTACTCAGAGTGGCAATCTATCTAAATCTGCGCAAAATCAAAGCCCCACAACAGGTGCACATCCCTGCCAGGTGCTACTGGCTCATCTGCAGAGCCTGCGTGTGCACTTTGCTGTCGTCTTTTTTGCGTTTGCATAGTAAGCAAGTAAACAAAACTACGAATGGGTATATAATGAAATGTATGGGGCCGGGGGAGGCAATTGTAACTAAGCTTTAATGGCCATGGTAACAGCTCGTATCCCCACTGGCTCGGAGGCTGCATCCTGCAAGTTGTTGTGGTCTCCTGCCACTGTCTGAGGTACAGGAGCAGTTGCATTGGATGAAGTTCAAATCCCAACAAAATTATTAATATGACTTGGAGAGGGTGGGATGGAAGGGCTCCCCATTCCCACAAAGCCCCCTGCGGTTGCCAAGACAGCCGACAATGTATCTGCAGGATGCATTTTCAGTCATGCCCTTGCCAGTCTGGCACCAAATTATTGCTAGGCTCTGGCAAAAATTCTTCATATTCCACAGAAAACAATTTAAATTCTTTCTAAGAGGATTAATTCTAAATAGGCCTAACTCTCGTATATTTTTTTTCAAGTGGCATTACTAGTTTTAATCTCTAGACCATTTAGTTTAAATAATATTTGTTGAATAGCTTTGGTATAGATTTTTTGATCTGAGAAATTTCAATTATTGATAATCTTATTTAAAGGTTTTTTTTATAAGTGCCTCTGTATCTTTGAGATACTCCTAAACTAGCACTAAATTTGCTGCACATTATTTAGTTGTTTGAGGCAGACGGCGTCTTTGTCTCCTGCGCCGACGATTCTGTTATCTGTTTGTGGTTACAGGATTACGGCTGCAAAGCACACATACTCTCTGTATACATATATATTCGTAAGCAGGTCTTGAGCGCTGCCACGCCCACATCTCGGTAAACTAAACCGCCTCAGCTGTGTTTGAACTTTTGCCGAGAACTGTGGGAGTTTGCCAGAGCTTACCCACTGGACTCGACCGAGCTTCAAGGTGAGTGGTAGGGCTTTGGTTTAGATGCATCACCCAGACCCACACCCACAACCACCCAGTCGACATTATCCACACCTTGTTTACGCATTTGTGCTACGATTTTTTACTCGTTCCTGCTTCGCCCTCAACAAGTTTATCGCAGCAGCTCTCCGACTCTAATTTACATAACCACGCAAATTAGTTTTGCGTCTGCTGCAGTTTTTATCTGCTCCCAACTTTGTCACGACCCTCGGCTCGCCCTGACTACACCCCATCCTGGCCCATCCCATCGCAACTTAAATTTAGTTGCCAAAGTTATTTAAACTTTTCATACTCTTCAACGGGGCACTGTAATTATGGCGAGAAGTTTGCCAGGAAGGAAGTAAAGGTGAACGGTTTAGGTTTGGACTTGGAATTCTAGTCCTGTAAGATTTTTGTGATGAAATTCAACATTATTTCAAGGTATTTTTTATTATCCTTAGAGTATTAACTTTTTCAGCTTTATCTTAAAAATCTAACCAACTATTTTTATTGCTAAAATTCCGTTTTTTTTTCTTTTAAAGAACCTCGCTTTTTATTTTATTTGACCACTATTCGAAAAATGAATTTTGCGAAACTTTTTTTTGAAACTTTTTTGGCTGCTGTGCCACGCCCACAATTTTAATAGACACACACACCCTGCACCTGTGACTAGGACTGAGAAGAGGGGGCTTGTCTCGTAGTTAAGACAACAATTCATTTAACATAGAAGCAGACTTTCAGCCGCTCTCCAGCTAGCAGCTAACTCGTTTTTTCCCGTTTTCGTTTTCGGGAAAGTTTGCTAATGGCCCCCAACCGGGCACAGTGGTTGGAAAAGTCTGTGGACGGGAACCGTTTAGGACGACGAGTGCTTATGGCTGATAAAGACGAGACTTGTTAGTTAAGCTCTGTCATTGTTTCACCTTCCGCAGGAAGTTCATTTCGGCTGGCTCCACTGTACCGGCTGGCCATTGTTTCTCGAGTTTTATGTGGGCTTATTGAGGGCTTCCCTGGGCCCGGGTTCCCAACCAACTGATTGGCAGCCCAGTCAAAGAAAGTTTATTTTATTAATGTGGCTAAGCAGGGAGTAGGGACAGGGGCAGGCTTCCACCCCAACTCACTCAGGCTCAAATGTTTGCTGTTTTCGACAGCCCAGCTAATTGAATTTTTCGTAAATTATAAACAAATAGATATAAAAAATGCGATTTCAAGAGCAACTGGTAGCCATATCAGAGTCAAAGTAAATCCTTAAAAAAAAATTGTTTAGGCAGTGTTTTATTTTTATGTAATATTTTAAAACTGTTATGATTGGCAAAATATATATTTTTTCAATTATTAAATCACGTTGAAGGAACACTGTAGGGAAGTTACAAAATGTATGAAAAGGATCGAGGATGAAAAAAGCATTGTTAGTAGTATTTCAAGCTTAAAATAATATTTTTGTCGTAGTTTTTAAACATAAAAAGTAAAAAATGCTTAATATTATTGTTGTCGAATGAATGAACATGAAATGTTATTTTGAATTGGGGTTTCCGTTCTTATATTTTGAGTAATTAATCATACAGGATTAGTCTTTTTTCATTAATAATATTTAAAGTAAATATTAAAAAAAAAAGATTGGTCAACATTTTCCTGAAATTTAAAAATAAAATTGAATTTAAATATAAATTTTATT